CCCATGATAGCTGGGGGAGTAGTGATAATGAATACCAGTGTACACGATGAACCGCCAGGGAAGCTGAACCAGGTAGGGAGTGAGGAACACTCGGCCACCTTGGGAAAACACTTTTACAGGGTACGTAAAGAAGGAGATAGATTGCCATTAAATCTAGGGAACCTCGTAACAGTGGGAGGAAATGCTACCAGGGCATGTGGGCCACTGGGTGGGAAAGTACGGAGCCACTCAGTCAAGGCTAGACATACGAAAGATGTTAAAGTTAAAGGAAAGGGTGCTAAGACCACCGGAACCAACAAGTTTACACCCTCAGAGGTCCACGCAGGGGAAACTGGACGGTTGAAGTTAGACCGGAGTCTGCTCGACGAAAGTGGCTGAACGGCACTCGTGTCCAGGGTCCGCCGGGGGGGGGGGGCTCGCAGAAGGTGAACTTGATTTAGACTTAGTACCTGGTGGCCTGGTGGCTAAAGCTCCCGCTTCACACACGGAGGGCCCGGGTTCGATTCCCGGCGGGTGGAAACATTTTGACACGTTTCCTTACACCTGTTGTCCTGTTCACCTAGCAGCAAATAGGTACCTGGGTGTTAGTCGACTGGTGTGGGTCGCATCCTGGGGGACAAGATTAAGGACCCCAATGGAAATAAGTTAGACAGTCCTCGATGACGCACTAACTTTCTTGGGTTATCCTGGGTGGCTAACCCTCCGGGGTTAAAAATCCGAACGAAATCTTATCTTATCTTATCTGACCTACCTTCGCCGGCGGGAGGATGTGGAAATTTATTTGGTCCCTAAAGTTCCACAGGACAGATACGGCGTACCAAGGGATCCCAGCAAGGCCGTAATGGAACGGCTGAGCTGGGTGGCCCTTAAACCCACCCAAACAAAAGCATTCTCTCCTGAGTTGGCGTAGATGGTAGACACTTATTGATTTATAGATTTACCCTTCAGGGAGGAAGTAGGTAGTTTACTGTTAGTACACTAATATTAGGATTATTGAGGCAACTGTAGATAATAATAATGTAGACCTAAGACCTTAACATAGGTAGTAATAGGCCGATAATGTAGGCAAACACTAGGAAAAGTTAGCTAGGGAGAACTGGCAGCCCTAGTTTGAACTACGAGGCGCGGGTCTCAAAGACACAATAGCGTCCTTCTGTAGACAGACACCAACTGGACAAGACGTGCCGTGATCAGCAGACGGCGCCCCCCACGTGTCTTCACATTTGAGACCTGGGGAAATCTGGTAGAGGCACCTCGATGTACCGTAGATGACCTTCTCTGTCAGACCCATACAGTAAGACAAAACCTCCACTTTCTCTTAGGATTTCTGGCCAGTGTCTGGGGAAAAATTGTGAGTTGAAATGTGGGCCTGTATGCAGCTGGCAGTGCATGCCAAGTACGTACCAGTGTCTCTTGTTCTTGTCTACCTAGAAGCTAGTGTCCGTGTCTGCATAGTTGTACTAGGGGATACACACCCCCTTGGATAAAGGAATTTCTGAGGTGCAGGCAGGCCACTAATAACAATTGAATATTGCAGGAATTAAGGCTCCCGGTTGCACGTGGTTTCTGAGGAAAGGCTAAGCTTAAGGAAGCTGAAGATCAGGATAGATGCTGCAACACCAAGTAAGTTAGTCCTTTATACGTGCATGCAGGCGAGTTTCTTGCAACATCAATCATTTGTAAAAATCTGTCCTATAAGCCACTTGTGAAGCTGAGGTACCGACCTCAGAGCTCGGTGTCAACAGAGTTTGCCAGGGTAGGCGACTCACTTGGAGGCAGTCCAGACAAATTTTCACTCGATGTATGCACAAGGCTTATTCCTCTAAGAAAAAGGAGGAGTAGATGTAAAATAGAAAGAGACAGGCGCTCCCTTTACAGGCGACGGAAAAGAATAACAGAGCGGCTAAAAGAGGTCAATATATCTGTAATGCGCAGGGAGACACTGGTCAGAGAAATAGCAAGCATCGAACTTAAGCTAAAAGAATCCTTTAGGAGTCAGGAATCGCGGGAAGAACTAAAAGCTATAAATGAAATCGAAAGAAACCCAAAGTATTTCTTCTCCTATGCCAAATCAAAATCGAGAACAACGCCCAGTATTGGGCCCCTACTTAAACAAGATGGGTCCTACACAGATGACAGCAAGGAAATGAGTGAGCTACTCAAGTCCCAATATGACTCAGTTTTTAGCAAGCCGCTAACCAGACTGAGAGTCGAAGATCAAAATGAATTTTTTATGAGAGAGCCACAAAATTTGATTAACACAAGCCTATCCGATGTTATCCTGACGCCAAATGACTTCGAACAGGCGATAAATGACATGCCCATCACTCTGCCCCAGGGCCAGACTCATGGAACTCTGTGTTCATCAAGACTGCAAGAAGCCCCTATCACGAGCCTTTTCCATCCTATGGAGAGGGAGCATGGACACGGGGGTCGTCCCTCAGTTACTAAAAACAACAGACATAGCCCCACTCCACAAAGGGGGCAGTAAAGCAACAGCAAAGAACTACAGACCAATAGCACTAACATCCCATATCATAAAAATCTTTGAAAGGGTCCTAAGAAGCAAGATCACCACCCATCTAGAAACCCATCAGTTACACAACCCAGGGCAACATGGGTTTAGAACAGGCGCTCCTGTCTGTCTCAACTACTGGATCACTACGACAAGGTCCTAAATGCACTAGAAGACAAAAAGAATGCAGATGTAATATATACAGACTTTGCAAAAGCCTTCGACAAGTGTGACCATGGCGTAATAGCGCACAAAATGCGCGCTAAAGGAATAACAGGAAAAGTCGGTCGATGGATCTATAATTTCCTCACTAACAGAACACAGAGAGTAGTCGTCAACAGAGTAAAGTCCGAGGCAGCTACGGTGAAAAGCTCTGTTCCACAAGGCACAGTACTAGCTCCCATCTTGTTCCTCATCCTCATATCCGACATAGACAAGGATGTCAGCCACAGCACCGTGTCTTCCTTTGCAGATGACACCCGAATCTGCATGACAGTGTCTTCCATTGCAGACACTGCAAGGCTCCAGGCGGACATCAACCAAATCTTCAGTGGGCTGCAGAAAACATATGAAGTTCAACGATGAGAAATTTCAATTACTCAGATATGGTAAACATGAGGAAATTAAATCTTCATCAGAGTACAAAACAAATTCTGGCCACGAAATAGAGCGAAACACCAACGTCAAAGACCTGGGAGTGATTATGTCGGAGGATCTCACCTTCAAGGACCATAACATTGTATCAATCGCATCTGCTAGAAAAATGACAGGATGGATAATGAGAACCTTCAAAACTAGGGAGGCCAAGCCCATGATGACACTCTTCAGGCACTTGTTCTATCTAGGCTGGAATATTGCTGCACTCTAACAGCACCTTTCAAGGCAGGTGAAATTGCCGACCTAGAAAATGTACAAGAACTTCACGGCGCGCATAACGGAGATAAAACACCTCAATTACTGGGAGTGCTTGAGGTTTCTAAACCTGTATTCCCTGGAACGCAGAGGGAGAGATACATGATTATATACACCTGGAAAATCCTAGAGGGACTAGTACCGAACTTGCACACGAAAATCACTCACTACGAAAGCAAAAGACTTGGCAGACGATGCACCATCCCCCCAATGAAAAGCAGGGGTGTCACTAGCACGTTAAGAGACCATACAATAAGTGTCAGGGGCCCGAGACTGTTCAACTGCCTCCCAGCACACATAAGGGGGATTACCAACAGACCCCTGGCAGTCTTCAAGCTGGCACTGGACAAGCACCTAAAGTCAGTTCCTGATCAGCCGGGCTGTGGCTCGTACGTTGGTTTGCGTGCAGCCAGCAGCAACAGCCTGGTTGATCAGGCGCTGATCCACCAGGAGGCCTGGTCACAGACCGGGCCGCGGGGGCGTTGACCCCCGAAACTCTCTCCAGGTAAACTCCAGGTAATCGTGTCATTACGATTTCGTGAGTCAGATCACTTCACAGTTTGGTGGGCTTCCTTTTGATTGACTGGTTGAACCAAGGTACTGGTATAACGATGGGGCCCCTGCTTGTTAAGCTCTTAGCACCTGGTTCGCTGATATGGGTGTATGACATAGGCCGAATAAAATGTAAAATGCTCTTAGCATGCCACAAGTTAGTACCTCGGTGTAGCCGACTGGTATGGGTCGCATACTGTCTATAATGATAATAATATCTTTATTTACTACAAGTACATGTACAAGATATACAGGCCAAGCTGACATCAATGACGTACTACTATATATTATTATTATTATTATAATCAAGGGGGAAGCGCTAAACCCGGAGGATTATACAGCGCCTGGGGGGAGGGGATGTGGAAGGCATTCAGGTTTAATTCGGGGAACTGGAGCACAGATCCAATTCCCTAAATCAAGAGCCCCTCACCAACATCAAGGAACCTTCCTTGAGGGGTACTACTATATAGAAAAACCCTTTGCTATGCAGAGCATTTCGGGCAAATTAGGTTAGTTTTGTCTCAGGATGCGACCCACACCAGTCGACTAACACCCAAGTACTCATTTTACTAATGGTTGAACACAGACAACCGGTGTACGGAAACACAGACAATGTTTCCACCTCTTCGCCGGGAATTGAACCCGGACACCGTGTGACGCGAGAGTTTTTGCCACCAGGCCAAGGGGCCTGGCTTATTTCCTAGTGGAAATAAATCAGACAAACGATGCCATGACTTTATTGGGGTTATCCTGGGTTACTAACCCTCCGGGTTAATAATCCAAACAAAAACTTGTTATTCCATACCCAATTCCCTCCCGGGATTGGACAAAAGTTCCTCCCTGTATTACATAATGTATCATGTGTCAAAAGTTTGTTTGAAGGACAATACATTGTTTTTTACTCCAAAGCTAATATAGTATATTTTGTTTCGTTGTAAAATGCCATTTTTTAATTAAATAAGAGACCAGGTTTAATACGGCGTCAGCTGTGATAACCCTATAAACCGTACCACGGGCGGGACTGAACCCGCGGTCAGAGAGTTTTGAGACTCTATAACCCTATAAACTCCCAACCACAACAACAACAGGAACAATGCCCTTCCGCGTCCTCAGTTGGAATATAAATGGTCTCCGTTCTTTCAAGACTGGCATGAAGGAGTTTTTGTCAGGCTTAGAGGCTGATATCATATGTTTCCAGGAGACGAAAGTTACACGTAGGTCAAATGCGAATACCGGAAGGATGCATCTTTGGTCCCTTTGTGCTCTTGTAATATATATCGAACATGAGTGAAGCTTTTCATGATAATTATTAACAGATATTTATGGGAAATGTTAAATCAGTATGGGGACTATACAGCATCTGAATAACCACGGGTAATCAGGTACTTACTTACAGGTTCAATTCCCTACCGGTGTCATAGAACCTCTCGATAGATAAGTTTTGGATGAATATATAATCTGTGTTCTAGGAAGGTGCATTGGTACTGGTAAAGGGCTCTTGGTTGCCAGACATCTTCAAAATAAAGATATCCAAATGTTGCATGCGTTTAATTCATCATTTACTCTAGGATATAATACATTTTTTCAAGTCCCTCATGAGCAGTGGTGATTTGTGAATTAAAATGTGTATAGCATTTTTGCAGTCAGCTTTTTTGAGACTGAATTAAACTTCTTTTTCTAAAACTAATGTTCATTTTATGACTGTTATTTATTGTCATTATTCACATTACTGCAATGTCCATCCACCTCATTTACTGTAGTCTTGCACTCCTAAGTACATTATACAAGTACATAATTCTGTACATTCAGTGCTGGCAGTAGTAGACTAAAAATGGCTATCCTTTTCCTGACCATTCCTGTTGTTGAATTTAATGAACTTGTAGTTCAGGATATTCCAGTCTCCTACAAGACATGTCCCCTTTTTTGTACTATTTTCTAGTGCTATATTAATACTGTGATTCTTGGTGTAATAAATGGTTTGAGTTATTGATTAGTAAGCTGTTTTTAATTAAACCACCTATGTGCTTTTGATTATGCTTCCTTCATTAATGTCAGATTGTACTACTAGTCCAACATCTTTTAACTAATTGTCCCAGTCAGTGCCCTAATACACTTGCATATTTTGGCTGCCCTCCTCTTTAAAAATTTTATCCTTTACTGCAGATTCTCGTTATGATTTCTTAAACAAAGCTGGTTTACTTCAATAATGACTTTCTCCTTTCACCCTTGAACTCATCTTCCATATATCTGTCCCTTAATGTAAGTGTATCCTTTGGTCTGGAGTGCCAAATGACCCATATGAAATTTAAGACATTATCCAACATAAATTATCCTTCTCTGAGACATGCTGTTTTTTATAGTAACATTTCTCTACATACAGTTAAGTGTTCTTTCAGTGTTATGTTCATAATTGAAAATACTATACATAAGTTTACTTTTTATTTTAAATTTTAAATAATTTTTTATTTTTTTCTTGGGTTTTTAACCATGTAATAGACCTAGGAATTCTAATAGTTTTTTTTGTATAGAACACGCGGTATTTACTACGTAATTGGTGGTGTGTGTGTGTGTGTGTGTGTGTAATATATACGTATATAATATATATATATATATAAACAGTGGCCCCCCTGCATAACAAAATTTAATCCTGCAAGGGGGCTCTTTTTTAGCGAAATGTCGGTATGCAAAAATTTCCCCCCAAAAAAAATAAGGGAAAAACAAATTAATCCGTGCAAGACACCCAAAAGTTAAAAAAAAAAAAATTTTACCACATAAAATGTTAATTTAATCACACAAACTGAAAAAGGGCATGCAAATTACAGACACTTCTTTTTTTAAGCGGTGATGATTGATGGATGGGGGGAGGGAGAGAGAGTGTTAGTTTTTAGAAGGGATCCCCCCCATTAAGACTGGTGCGAGTTTTTCTGGGTTACTTCCCTTCTTCTTTTAATCCACTAGGACCAGCTTCGAGTCCGGGACTTCTTTCGCACAACATATCTGCCATAGGGGGCCTGTACCCCGTTCCTTTGACTTCCCTAAATTTTTCAAAACATTGTCAGTGTACGGGTTGCCAACACGGCTTTTCAATAGCTGGTTTTAGGGTGATTTTCATCCATGAAGGTTTTTCACTTCAAGCCACTTTGCACAGATTTCCTTTAATCTTTTTTATAGGCAACTTTTTCATTTCTCTCCCCCTCCCTGAAACCCTTTTTCCCCAGGGCGGCCCTTTGCTTTGAAGTTGATCTATCACTCATCAGTGTTAGTTCTTCATTGTCCCCTCCACCAACTCTTCCACCCTTCCCCACTAACCTCCAAACCCCAAAGGACTTTCCAATGCCACAATGATTCCTCAAATGGATAATCCTCTCAGGTTTGCCCAAGCCCTTCAAAATCCCCCTTTTGTCTACACATTCTGGCCACAGTTTTCTTCCCAACAGAGTTCAAGGCTTCTATCACTCCCCCCAACCCTTACCTTAAATTTTTCACAATTGAAAAATTATTAAATGGCCTCTCCAAAACTCTCTTAGAGTCAGTATTTTCTGAGTCACACAAAGCCCCCTTTTAAACAGAGCTTTTGTTCAGTTTTTTTTAAGTTTGCAAAAACCTCTGGTCCATGGCTGCAGGAGAGGGTTTGGGATTAGGACAAAAACTTCACCTTAAGAAATTTTAGTCCCCCAAAAATCGCTCTGCCACGCTGTAGGATACCAGGGGCATGTCTAACCCAGGGGGCACTTAAGTTCAATTTTTTTTCATTTGGAATCTTTTCCTTGGGGCAAATGCATGGGGTAACCATCAAAAAAAAGTCCCTATACCCATGCCTTACTGTTTTCCCCCCCACACACACAAAATTTTCCCTTGAGGGCCCTTCTTTTGCCCAACGGGCTGGATTCAGAGTGAACACAATAAAGGCTTTACTTTGCAATCACTAGTAGCATTTGAACACATCAACAAAAATAAAACCTTCTTTCATAGGCTTTTGTCCTGGGGGGTGCCTTTTTCCTCCTGAGTAAGTAGGTCCTGCTTGGCATTTTCTTTCCAAACAGGGCCTTTTTTATCACAAATTAAAAAACTTGTTCAGGTTCAGTCCTTCACTGTCTATGTATTCCTGAATTCTGCACATTTTTTCAGCGCTTTGTGGCCGAACGGGCAGCCTCCCCATGCTTATCACACATGTATGCCACTACGCTTTTTTAAATCCCCAAAACCCAACTTTGCGGGCCTTTTAAATTCACTCACATATCACATTTGCAGGCATTTTTTTAATTAATCCTCATGCAACTTCCAGCCTTTCACTTAGATGCTTTGAGAGACCTATCTCCTGCTACTTTTTTTTTTCATTATCCACCCCAAATAAGAGTCTCTAAAAACCTTCCCTCACTTGCGATCTCTTTTTTTTAAAAAACACATTTAAACCTTTGGCAAGAACACTTCCTTGATTCCCTTTTTCGGGCCCCCAAAGTAGCAAGGGTGTTTTGGGTTTTTTGTAAACCGGCCAGGTCGGCGACACGCCTCCACTTTCATACTTATATGATCTCTTTCTTCATCTCTATATAATTCTCACCCTTATTGCTGTAGGGTTGGCCTAAACTTTCTTGGGGGCCCATGGTCACTTATTTCAGAAAAAAAATCCAAAAACACTGTAAAATACAAATTTCCATTGATCTTGGTTTTTAAACCGCGGAGGCTGCTGGTAAACAATGCCACCGGGGCACATTGGGGCTGCAAAGGGCGCACATTGGACGCGTCTGGGACAAGAGCATGAGGGGGTTTTTGAGCGGTATGCAGGAAAAATTTTTGCGATAAAAGCGGCGGTAGCGGATTTCTTATGTATGGCGACGGGAGCGGGGGGCCACGTATATATATATTTAAAATAATACGGGAACCTCAAAAAAACGAATATCAAATATGAACATTTTAAAAAAAGACCATTTTTCGGACAAACTGTGTCCCAATTATCGAACGCCCCCTAATTTTTTACCGCCAGGTACGGGACTTTCTGCCGGCCCACTCTGCCCATCCCCCCCGCAGGCGCCGTGAGCAGTCTAGCTTTGTTTTTTGCTTGATGAACACTAACCTGCGTCTCATTCACACATTTTTCGATTATTTCTTGTTTTAGTGCTTGTGGGCTGTGAAAAACTCCATGGCCCAAAAAAACTTGCTAGTGTACCCTGTGGTAAAGAAAGTGAGAAACCCATAGATGTAAGAAGGAAATAATACAGAAGTTGAAAAAGGTATGGACTTGTTGAGCTTGCCAGGATGTATGGAAAAACAAGTCGACCATCGTTCTATCCTGGCAAAGAAAGAACAAATCAAGGAAGCTGATGTTGCGAAAGGTGTTAATATGCTAACCAAAAAAAGACCACAAATAGTTGAAGAGGTTGAGAAGTTGTTGCTGGTGTGGATCAAGGATAAAGAGATTGCAGGTGATAGTGTTTCAGAGACGATTATTTGCGAAAAGGCAAGGAAGTTGCATGCTGATCTGGTACAGAAAACTCCTGGAACCAGTGCTGATAGTGAATTTAAGGCCAGCAGAGGCTGGCTTGACAGATTTAAGAAGTGTAGTGGCATACACAATGTTGTAAGACATGGTGAGGCAGCCAGTTCAGACAAACGGGTGGCTGAGAAGTTTGTATAGGAGTTTAAGGGGCACATAGACAGTGAAGAATTCAAACCTGAACAAGTGCTTAATTGTGACGAAACAGGCTTGTTTTGGAAGAAAATGCCAAAAAGGACCTTCATCACACAGGAGGAAAAGGCACTGCCAGGACACAAGCCTATGAAAGACAGGCTTACTCTTTTATTCTGTGCTAATGCTAGTGGTGATTTTAAAGTGAAGCCTTTACTTGTGTATCATTTAGAAAATCCCAGAGTGTTTAAGAAAAACAATGTCTTTGAGAACAAGTTATGTGTCTTGTGGAAAGCTAATCATAAGGCATGGGTCACAAGGCAAATTTTCAAAGAGTGGGTCTGTGAAGTGTTTGGCCCCAGTGTGAAAAAATACCTCCAGGAAAAGAAATTGCCACTCAAGTGCCTCCTGCTAATGGACAATGCTCCTGCTCATCCTCCAAACTTATTAGACCTCTTGTCTAAGGACTTCAGTTTTATAAAAGTGAAGTTCTTGCCTCCTAACACCACTCCTCTCCTCCAGCCCATGGACCAGCAGGTCATTTCTAACTTCAAAAAACTCTACACAAAAGCAGTGTTTGAAAAGTGCTTTGAAGTGACCACAGACAGTAAGTTGACCCTAAGAGAGTTCTGGAGGAATCACTTCAACATCTACAACTCCATAAGCCTTATAGGTAAGGCTTGGGAGGGAGTGACTTCCAGGACTTTGAACTCTGCTTGGAGACAATTGTGGCCAGATTGTGTCCAAAAGAGGGATTTTGAAGGGTTTGAGGCTGACCCTGACCCAGCTGACCCTCTGCCTGTTGTGGACTCTATTGTGGCATTGGGGAACACCCTGGGGTTGGAGGTGAGTGGTGAGGATGTGGAAGAGTTGGTGGAGGACCACAGAGAAGAGCTAACCACTGAAGAGCTGCAAGAGCTTCATCTGGAGCAGTATTAGACACAGCTGAGGACACTTGCTTCAGAGGAGGAGGAAGAGGGAGTGGATGAGGTGCCTTCTTCAAGATTCAAGGAGATTTGTGCACCATGTGGATGTGTCCAAATGTTTGAGCAGAAAGTCCACCACTGAGCAAGCTGAAAAACAAGCCATCTTTGCACAAGTTCAGTGACAGAAACATGTCCCATTTTAGGGAATATGTTAAAGAGGTGCCAGAAAACAGAGAACTGTGACAGTATTTTGTGAGACAGGGGTCCAGTGACTCCTAAGCTGGTCCTATGGCATTAAAAGACTAGAGAATGGGAAGTAACCCAGAGAGGGCTTAACTAAAGTTTACTGGAGTGAGGATTCTCCTTCAAACACTAACCCAATCTCTTCTCCTCCTCCAATCTTCCAGTGCATCAACCTAAAACCTATCAATAAAGGATAAAAAAAATGTATTTTATAGTATTACATATAAAATTCAAAAACTATAGTATTTGTTGTATGTAAAACCTGCACAGTATAATCTCTATAAAAGTATTTTTCTGTGTGAATATTTTTGGTTTCATGGAAAGATTCATTGTAATTTTCCCTTATTCTATAGGAAAATATTGCTTCAGAATTTCAGAACTTTTCCGAATTTAGAACTACTCCGGAACGGATTAAAATCGATTTTTGAGGTTCCACGGGGTATTATTTTTTATTTATTATCAAAAATGGCCATTCCCACCAAGGCAGGGTGGCCTGAAAAAGAAAACTTTCACCATCTTCACTCCATCACTGTCTTGCCAAAGGGTGCTTTACAATACAGTTTTTAAATGCAACATTAACACCCCTCCTTTTAGAGTGCAGGCACTGTACTTCCCATCTCCAGGCTCAAGTCCGGCCCGCCTTTTCCCCAACCCTTATAAATGTTACTTTGCTCACACTCCAACAGCACGTCAAGATAAAAACCATTTGTCTCCATTCACTCCTATCAACCCCTTTTCCTGCTGGCCAAAAACACAAAGGGGGATTTAAAAAGTTTGGAGGCACAGGGAAAGCTAACCACTGAAGAGCTGCAAGAGCTTCATCTGGAGCAGTATTAGACCACAGCTGAGGAACTTGCTTCAGAGGAGGAGGAAGAGGGAGTGGATGAGGTGCCTCCTTCAGACTTCACAATGAGGCAGCCATTAATAACTTCACAACAGCAATAACAAACATTGATTGGCACACTGAGCTAGAAACCTATACAGAAAATGACGAATGTATTAATAATTTTCTAAAAAAAACCCAATACCTCTATAACAAGCACTGCCCCAAAAAAACTAAACAGATGACAGCAAAGAGACTGAACAGTCCCGGGCTAACACCCAGCATTCCAAATCCATAAATACAAAACACCAATATGAAAAACAGTACAGAATGGGTCACATAACCAGAGACCAAACAAAACGTTACTCGTCAATCCAACCAGCCTGATAAGAAGGGCAAAAAAATTGTATTATGAGAACAGATTATCCAACTTACGAGGTGATATAAAAAAGACCTGGAAAACCCTATCAGAAATTCTGGGAAACAAAAAAGATATCACGAAATAGCGAAATAAAATTAGCAAAAACAGATGAACCCCAAATCCCACCAACAGAAACAGCAAAGAGACTCAATGATTTCTTCTCCACTATAGGACAAAACCTTGCCAATAAAAATCCCAAGCTCAGATACCCCACCAAATGACTACCTCACCGGCAACTACCCAACACACTGTTCCTAGCTCCGACTAACCCATACGAAGTCTCCCTTATTATCAACGCACTAAAAAACAAGGCAGGAGATTTAAATACCTTACCACCCCTTATATACAAAAAAGTGTCACAAGTGCTATCACCAATCATTGCAACACTCTTTAACAAATCCATTGAATCCTCCACCTTCCCTACAGTACTCAAAATAGCAAGGGTCACCCCGATCCACAAAGGAGGAGACCAAACAGAGTTGAATAACTATAGGCCAATATCCAACTACACCCTCTCTCAAAATCTTCGAAAATTAATTCATAAACGAATCTACTCCTACCTATCTCCCAAAACATACTCAACCCCTGCCAATTTGGATTCAGGCCTAATAAAAATACTAATGATGCTATTATACACATGCTAGAACATATATACACTGCAATAGAGAAAAAAGAAGTCCCACTGGGGATCTTCATTGACTTACGTAAAGCTTTTGATACAGTTGACCATGACTTGCTCCACGTAAAAATTGTCACACTATGGTATAAGAGGGCACTCCCTCAACTACCTCAAGTCTTACCTCAGCAACAGAAGCCAATATGTGTACTCAAATGGGGCAAACTCTTCTGCACAACCAATTACAGTTGGTGTCCCACAGGGAAGTGTCCTTGGCCCTCTTCTCTTTCTCCTATACATAAATGACCTTCCAAATGCTTCGCAATTACTCAAACCCACACTATTTGCAGATGACACTACATACGTCTTCTCTCACCCGAGCCCAGTCACGCTAGCCAATACTGTAAATACCGAATTACAGAAATATCTACCTGGATGAGGACTAACAAACTTACACTAAACATTGACAAAACCTACTTCATTCAGTTTGGTAACAAGCTACAGATGTCCCTCTTAACATAATGATAAATGGATCACCTATCACAAAACTAACAGAGGGAAAATTCTTAGGAATCCACCTTGATAATAGACTCAAATTTCATACACATATACATCAAATTTCTAAGAAAATTTCCAAGACTGTAGGCATACTATCGAAGATACGGTACTATGTTCCACAGTCAGCCCTCCTGGCCCTATATCACTCTCTTATTTACCCCTATCTCACCTATGGAATTTGTGCATGGGGGCTCAACAACAATTAACCATCTCAGACCACTAATTACCCAACAAAAGGCTGCAGTTAGAATGATAACAAATTCTCACTACAGGCAGCACACTCCACCAATATTCAATACACTAAACCTACTCACCATACAAAACATCCATACTATTACTGCACCTATTACATACATAGAACACTTAACTCTGATATTAACCTCCCCTCAAACATCTCCTTGCCAACTCAACAGAACACATGACCATAACACAAGGCACAGATCACTCTTTGATGTTCCTCGTGTCCATCTCACACTATGCAAAAACTCAATGCACATAAAAGGCCCTAAAATCTGGAATTCATTACCTGTAAATATAAAAGAAACACAACCTGTTTATAAATTCAAGTCTCTTCTCAAAGATTACTTACTCACCCAAAACGAAATAAATACTGAATAACTGAACATTATAAATTGTATATCTTAAATGTTTCTCACAATTATCCCCTCAAGGAAGGTTCCTTGATGTTGGTGAGGGGCTCTTGATTTAGAGAATTGGATCTGTGCTCCAGTTCCCCGAATTAAGCCTGAATGCCTTCCACATCCCCCCCCCCCCAGGCGCTGTATAATCCTCCGGGTTTAGCGCTTCCCCCTTGATTATAATAATAATAATTCTCACAATTATATCACATAAATGTTAAACCTAAAACCCAATCTAACTTATTATTTTTTAAATACACTACCTAACAGAATCACTACCTAACTGAATGCAACCATATGACCTGTCTTTGTAATACTCACTTGTGCTTTATAGTTATCTGTTTACATTAATGTTTTATCACTGATTTCATCATTGCTTAGTAGCAGCGCTGTATAGTCCTTGTGGCTTAGCGCTTCTTTTTGATTATAATAATAATAATTATCATTGCTTAGTTAATCTTAAGTTAATTTTAAGCCAGCCCGTAATGCTATGCATAGTATAAGTGGCTTTGGCATACTGCTCTTATCTGTATTTTTTTTGTACCTCTGTATGTGTGCACAAATTGGAAATAAATAAATAAATAAATAAATAAATAAATAAATTAAGGAGATTTGTGCCATGTGGAATGATGTCCAAATGTTTGTGCAGAAGTACCACCCTGAGCAAGCTGAAACAAGCCATCTTTGCAACAAGTTCAGTGACAGAACCATGTCCCATTTTAGGGAAATGTTAAAGAGGTGCCAGAAACAGAGGACTGTGGACAGTTATTTTGTGAGACAGGGGTCCAGTGACTCTCAAGCTGGTCCTAGTGGCATTAAAAGACAGAGAAGGGAAGTAACCCCAGAGAGGGCTTTACCTAAAGTCCTCATGGAGGGGATTCTCCTTCCAAACACTAACCCCAACTCCCTCTCTTCTCCTCCCTATTTTCCAGATGCCATCACCAATCCTCAATAAAGGTAAGAAAAAAAGTTATTTTATATGTATTACTATACAAAATTTAAAAACAAAGATTTTTTTATGAAAACTCATTTAATCTCTTAAAATTTATGTTTTTGTGAATATTTTTGGGGTTTCGGAAGGTTTAATTTTTTTTTCCATTTTTCTTAGGAAATATTGCTTCAATTTCAATTTTTTGAATTTAGAACTAGCCCTGGAACGCTTTAAAGTTCGTTTTTGGGGTTCCACGTGTATTAAAATTTTAAATTTATATATAAAAATTTATATATATATATATATATATTTTATATAATATATATTATATATATAAAAATAATAAGTATGTCCTGGTGTAGGTTGGTAGAAGCTCCCCGGGGGGGTACTACCGCCTGCCAAGTGAGTGTAAAAAAAAAACCAATTGTTTTACGGGGGTAGGGATTGCTGTGCCCTTTTTTTCTGTCTCGGGACATGAAAGTTTCGGGTACATCTTCCTTTTCTATTTCCCTTTAGGTCACACTCCCCAATACTGTACAAGCATATATAAAACCACCCCTCGGGGTTTTCTTTATTTTTTTTCTAGTTCTTATCTTTTTTATTTCCTCTTATCTCCATGGAAAAAGTGAACGAATTTTTCCCTGTAACCCATTTTGGTTTTAAAGGGGCGACAAAAAATGCCGGGAAAAGGGGGTAGTAACCTCTTTCCTGTAATTACAAAATTGAAGGAGAAACTTTCGTTTTTCCTTTTGGGCCACCCGCCTCGGGGGTAGGGCCCGGTTGGGGAAAAGAAGAAGATTTTAAAGATATGTTATATTTTTATTTTTTTATCACCCCGGCCGATTCCCCCCAAGCAGGGGGGCCCAAAAAAAGAAAAACTTCCCCAAAAATCACTCCATCCGTCTTGCCAAAGGGTGCTTTACACTACATTTTAACTGAAACATTAACACCCCATATTTCATATATGTATATATTATCATTGTATATATTATGTTATATATATTATATATATATGTATAAAAATTTAAAATATATATATAATAAATTATAAAATTAAATAATATATATATATATATATTTTAATATATATATATATAATATAATATATATATTAGAAATCTGAGTCAAAATAAAAAAAATAGTAGTAGACTTTAGAGTGTATGTTAGTAAAAAATTCATTTTCTTGTTAAGAAATGTTTAATGGTGCTTAAAAATTTGTACTTCCATGTGTTTGACTTCTGTTTTTCTGCAGCATATACATAAGGGGGCTTAAAAAAATTTTGGGGCTAAAATACTTAAAAAATTTCGGGGGACTGCTTGGGGAACCACAGCCATTGTAAAGGGTTATTCACCTATTTTAGTTTTCAAGAAAAAGGGTGGGGTTACATTATGTTGACTTTTTTGTAGTATTTTAAGAAAGATAATAAGTAGTTTATTTTAAAAGGGCGGTTTTGGTGAAGCTGTTGTTGGGAACTTGGGGAAAGGATAATGAAAAAAAAAAAAAACCGAACATATTAAAGTTATATATTTATTAAAACTCTTTTAACTGGGTAAAAAGTGTGGAGTAAAGTTAGATGAGTACTGTAAAAAATGCTTATAAGAAAGATGATATAAAGTAAGATTAGGCCTTTGAAGGATTTCATAATGAGATTTAGGCTGTGTGGAGAGAGAGAGAGAGATGGTCAGTGTTGATTAAATCGACCACGTTGATTGAAGCTATGGAGCTGAATATTTACCAACATTGAATAACCGACCACCTCAAACTTACTTTTTTAAGGCTGTATGCCTAAACACCTCTCGTCTACTGTTATCTCCAGTATTTAGATCACCTTTGTATTTTCAACTGAAGAAGCCTGCTGAGTAGGTGAAATGTCTTGGCAATAAAGATAAACTGTTACACTTGTATCTTATCCATCTAACTGTAGGAATGATTGGAACCAACACAGGTCCCTCCCAGAAGGCACTCAGCCTACTAATATAGAAGATTAGTAGGGAAAGGCAGGCAATAAGGGAGGTTCCTATATGAAGATCAAATAATTTTCTCATACTCTACCTGTATAATTTCCATTTCATTTTGCTAGTAGTCTGTACATTATTCCTCACAGGAGCGGATACTCGGGTGTAGCCACATTTTGCTCACAGCGTGCTACACCTTTTGCTGCACAGGAAGGACTCTCAGGTACTTTATTTCTGAAAGTTTTCTGTGGGCACAGAAAGTAAAATACAAATACAGAATTATATATGGTGTACAATATTAGTAAATTGTTGTATACCTTTATACAGAACTGGTGTATGGAAAAATTCTGTATATAATTATATGCATATAGAATGCTTTAGTTTAATAATGCATTCAAATACTGTAGTAATTCTTCACAAAAACATTATGCTTTTAAATTAAAAATTACATTAATCCCTATTTATAGTATGTATTTTGCAAATTGCTTAATATTAATGTAGGAAAAGAGCTTTATGCCACTTTTAGCACCACAATCCCCCCAAAATATGCATTGACCCTCATTCTCACAACCCAGCTGTTAGTTGATTCTCACACTAGTTACTTACTGTAGCTTCAAACCACTGGCAAACCACTATCTGACATATTACCACTAGGCAACCCAGAGTGCAGTTAATCAAGGTTGTGGGTTCCTGGCAGGTCCAAGGTCCCCATTAACTTACCAAACTATAAACAGTAATAAATGGAGAACTTGTGTGAAAGGGAAAAAGAGGAGGAAAGTGGGGTTATTGAATTCCCTGTGGTATAGGAGAGCCCCAACTTATGAACTAATCATTTGTAACTCTGGTTATGTGTCGCATATGTTTGTAACTGCTGATCGGCATTCAAAAAATAATTTTTTCTCACTGTTATGTCTTTTTTGGATTTTGTTTGTTAAGTGTGGATCAGGATAATTTGTTTATCCTCCTAAGCCATAACCATCTATTTTCTATAAACTATGCATATCAACAGCTTGACATTGCACACAACAGAACATTGTAAATATTAAAGTTGCTGCACTTCTAAATACTGTAAATCTTGTTAAATTAGACACATGTGCAACTCTTGGGTATCTTTATTGAGGAAACATTTCGCACACAGTGACTTCATCAGTCCATACATAGGAGAAACTTGAAGAACAGGAGGAGAATGAGGTAATCAGTCCCTCAACCTTGAGTCGATGTGGTCAGCCCATCAATCTTGAATAGAATGACCACATCGACTCAAGGTTGAGGGACTGATTACCTCATTCTCCTCCTGTTCTTCAAGTTTCTCCTATGTAGGGACTGATGAAGCCACTGTGTGGCGAAACATTTCCTCAATAAAGATACCCAAGAGTTGCACATGTGTCTAATTTAACAACATGTCGGTTCACAAATAACCCGCACATAAAAGAGAGAAGCTTACGACGACATTTTGGTCCGACTTGGACCATTTTCAAAGTCACACTAACCAGAAGTGGAGCAGGACGGCTATATATAGGCAGGAAGAGGTGGTGGTAGTAGTAGTAGCAGTACAAGAATGGTATATAATACCGACAAGATGAAATCAAGACACATGCGCAACACCCGGGCACCCCCATCGTAGACGTTTCGCCATCCAGCCAGCCACTGGATGGCGAAACATCCACAACAAAGACACCCAGATGCCGCACATGTGTCTCAATTTCATCAGCAGTAGTAGTAGTAATAGTAGTAGTAGTAGTAGAAGAGGTAGTAGTAGTGGTAGAAGTGGGGAATAAGGAGGGCGAGCCAGTCAAATACAAAGGAAGGGGAGCACTGCAAGGGAGCTAGGTGCCCACAGAGGGAGAGCAAGCGCACAGAGGTGCGTGAAAGGGGAAGTGGTGAAATAAATGAAGAAGGAACAGAAACATGAGACAGAAGAGAGAAAGACAACCCAGAGGAGAAAAAGGAAAGAGGAAAGGGGAAGAGGGAGAAGAAGAAAAAGAAAAAGAAAAAATGAGGAGTCAGGTTAAGTCACGGGTGTTCTGAAGTTTGGAGCATTTTACAATGTAGTGGGAGAGGAAGGCATCTACAGAGACGAAGCCAGGGCTAAGATTCATGTGCGGCATCTGGGTGTCTTTGTTGTGGACGTTTCGCCATCCAGTGGCTGGCTGGATGGCGAAACGTCTACGATGGGGGTGCCCGGGTGTTGCGCATGTGTCTTGATTTCATCTTGTCGGTATTATATATCATTCTTGTACTACTACTACTACTACCACCACCACCTCTTCCTGCCTATATATAGCCGTCCTGCTCCACTTCTGGTTAGTGTGACTTTGTAAATGGTCCAAGTCGGACCGAAACGTCGGCGTAAGCTTCTCTCTTTTATGTGCGGGTTATTTGTGTATCTTTCCAGTCACGGTATTGTGCCTTTTTTTTGTTATTTAACATGTCGGTTCTTTGAACCATTCATCTACAAATACTGTAAATCTTATTTATTAAGTATGAAGTCTTAAGAATTTAGCATATGACACTAATTCAGTGTCAGTTTTATTTTATTTTTTTGCTTTCTTTTAAATTTTACTTTTTAATAAGGAAACTATGTGGGTGAGTTGGAAAACGGATGTGGAACAACTGAGGCTCTGCCAGCTGAGTGGGCAGCAGAAGAACTGAAAGATCTGGATAGTGAAGGTCGGGCTGTCATCACACAACATATTATTAAGGTACAGGCAGTAATCTAAAGACACTCTTAGGGTGGAAAGCTTTCATTATGTGATATTTTACCCAAAATTGGGCTTTATCATATGTTTTTTTATATATTGCCATTTTTTTTTATTATCACACTGGCCGATTCCCACCAAGGCAGGGTGGCCCGAAAAAGAAAAACTTTCACCATCATTCACTCCATCACTGTCTTGCCAGAAGGGTGCTTTACACTACAGTTTTTAACCCTTTGAGGGTCGACAGGCCCTCTCAGAAACTTGTTCTCAGGGTCGGCCAAATTTAAAAAAAAAAAAAAATAATTTTTTCTTATGAAAAGATAGAGAATCTTTTCCCGATCATAATGACACCAAAATTATGAGATTTGATGGAAAACTTACGGAATTATGCTCTCGCGAAGTTAGCGGTCTCGGCGATGTTTACGCATTGGCGATTTTGCCCACTTTCGGCCAATTCCACTGTACTAGTCGACAAAAAACATGAATATTTCGCTAGAACTACATTTTTTCTATTGAGTAAGTGCAAGAAACCACCCATTTACCATTTTCAACTATCCAATACAGTGGTCAGAATTTAGCAATTTTGCCAATTTCACACAAATTTAAAAAAATGCCAATTTCCGAATAGGGTCCAGAACAAACAAGAAATACATTCCTGGCACTAAAATGACATTTCCTCTGTTCATTAGTCACGTCTCAAGGCCCCTCTTGCATTCTTTTGCTTTCCACTTTGAATTTTTATTCTCACAAAAAATAGAAGATTTACTGTTATGCATACTACTGCATTAGTGTAAAAAATGGTATAAATCTTATTGGCGCACTTGCAAAAGAATATTAGACTCACCAGTTGACGTGTATTGGACGCTTGGCATGATTTGTTTACTTTTGAACTTTGGTAAAAATCGAACATTTCTGCTACTTTGAGCTCAATTTCAAGGTACTTTTCATTGTAAAACCAGTCAAAATCATCTCAATTTCTGTGATATGCCTTCCATTCTATAAAATGAGACCAAGAAAACTAGAATACAACAATAAATACCATACGAAAATACAGTGCAAAGTCGCTGTTTTATTCCAAAAAAACGGTCAAAGTTTTTTTTTTCTCATTATGCACTGTGTGCTGCAGGATTTTTTTATACCATGCACACTGACCACATAAACCCATTCTTTCATATGGAGGCCTACCAGCCTTTTCCCGCAAGATTTCACGGCGCTAGAATTTATGCGTACTAGTACGTCAAAAACCCCTGTGTGTAAGATGTACTAGTACGTCCGAAACCCTCAAAGGGTTAAACTGCAACATTAACACCCCTCCTTCAGAGTGCAGGCACTGTACTTCCCATCTCCAGGACTCAAGTCCGGCCTGCCGGTTTCCCTGAACCCCTTCATAAATGTTACTTTGCTCACACTCCAACAGCATGTCAAGTATTAAAAACCATTTGTCTCCATTTACTCCTATCAAACACGCTCACGCATGCCTGCTGGAAGTCCAAGCCCCTCGCACACAAAACCTCCTTTACCCCCTCCCTCCAACCTTTCCTAGGCCGACCCCTACCCCGCCTTCCTTCCACTTCAGACTGATACACTCTTGAAGTCACTCTGTTTTGCTCCATTCTCTCTACATATCCGAACCACCTCAACAACCCTTCCCCAGCCCTCTGGACAACAGTTTTGGTAATCCCGCACCTCCTCCTAACTTCCAAACTACGAATTCTCTGCATTATATTCACACCACACATTTGCCCTCAGACATGGCATCTCCACTGCCTCCAGCCTTCTCCTCGCTGCAACATTCATTACCCATGCTTCACACCCACATAAGAGCGTTGGTAAAACTATACTCTCATACATTCCCCTCTTTGCCTCCAAGGACAAAGTTCTTTGTCTCCACAGACTCCTAAGTGCACCACTCACCCTTTTCTCCTCATCAGTTCTATGATTCACCTCATCTTTCATACACCCATCCGCTGACACGTCCACTCCCAAATATCTGAATACATTCACCTCCTCCATACTCTCTCCCTCCAATCTGATATCCAATCTTTCATCACCTAATCTTTTTGTTATCCTCATAACCTTACTCTTTCCTGTATTCACTTTTAATTTTCTTCTTTTGCACACCCTACCAAATTCATCCACCAATCTCTGCAACTTCTCTTCAGAATCTCCCAAGAGCACAGTGTCATCAACAAAGAGCAACTGTGACAACTCCCACTTTGTGTGATTCTTTATCTTTTAACTCCATGTCCTCTTGCCAAGACCCTCGCATTTACTTCTCTTACAACCCCATCTATAAATATATTAAACAACCAGGTGACATCACACATCCTTGTCTAAGGCCTACTTTTACTGGGAAATAATTTCCCTCTTTCCTACATACTCTAACTTGAGCCTCACTATCCTCGTAAAAACTCTTCACTGCTTTCAGTAACCTACCTCCTACACCATACACCTGCAACATTTGCCACATTGCCCCCCTATCCACCCTGTCATATGCCTTTTCCAAATCCATAAATGCCACAAAGACCTCTTTAGCCTTATCTAAATGCTGTTCACTTATATGTTTCACTGTAAACACCTGGTCCACACACCCCCTACCTTTCCTAAAGCCTCCTTGTTCATCTGCTATCCTATTCTCCATCTTACTCTTAATTCTTTCAATAATAACTCTACCATTCACTTTACCAGGTATACTCAACAGACTTCTCCCCCTATAATTTTTGCAATCTCTTTTGTCCCCTTTGCCTTTATACAAAGGAACTATTGCCATATGTTTGTTTATACTGTTGTCTACCATAATATCAGTCATTCAAAATCTCAGAGATCATTCATTAACCCTTAAACTGTTGGTCACATAGGTCTACACGACTGGGATCAGTGCCATTGCAATAGATCTATGCATAAATCATAGCACTCAATTTGCTTTGAGCAGCAAAATTTAACTTATACATGAGAGTATGGATCTGTGCAGTGGGTGTATACAGTATGATATAAAAAAAAAAAAAAACTGCCTCACACAGTGCATGATAGAAACAACTAACCTCTGACCCTGTTTTTGGGTATTTTTAGAGTGGTTTTATGATTTTATTGACTGTTTCTTGATTCTATTAGATAGATCAGGATAGGGCAGGATTTGCCTTGTTCTGAGATCAAAAGGGGGCCTGAATCAGACATCAAATTGGCAAGAAATGGTTGATGTCAGATGATTTACCAGGGTATGAGTACCTTCTCCTACCTTGGCTAGCCTGGCTTCAATTATTAGTGTACAGTCTAAACCATGATCAAGCATTCTTGGTTATGGTATGTTAGCCAGAGAGTTGGGAAACTTCAGTTTTTGTGTGGTGATGGTGAATTCAAAATGGAGGGCAAGTGTTATATAGGAGTGCCCTGGGGATGTGGTTAATTAACAGACAGAAAGCTGCTTTAACAATTGGAATAACTTGTTATAGACCCTGTTTATAAATTGAAATTTGTTGAAGATAATGTAAAATTGGCCAAATTACTGACTTCTGGATATTTTTAATAGGGTAATTATGATGGTTCTCCATGAGAAAGTGGAACAAAATTCTTCCTCCATAAGCCATGTATGTCATAAAAGGTGACTAAAATGCCTTGAGCAAGGGGCTAGTAACCCCTTCTCCTGTATAATTACTAAATTTAAAAAGAGAAACTTTTGTTTTTCTTTTTAGGTCGCCCTGCCTCGTTGGGATATGGCCAGTTCGTTGAAGAACAAAAATTATGATGTTGAATAGGAAGTGCCTTGTGATCAGTGGATAGTTTGAAAGGTATTAGTAAAATAACCTAGACTTGGTTGAAAATAAACCTCAAAATAAATGAAATTGCTGTAGCATGAAGCCCTCTCTGCTCTCCCACTTCACACATGCACAATTCTAGAGGTACTATATTACATCAGATTTTGTATTTTTGGTGCCTTTACCTTTAGAAAATGATTCGCTATCATTTTAGAAGACATTTTTTTTTTTATTTAAAAATTGCTGACACAGAAAGGACTTAGTTTTTGGGTGCCAACAGTTTATAATTTTGAGAGACCTTTTAAAACAAAGGCCATCATTTTTATGAAATAAAAATTATAATCCCCAGAAAGAAGATGGTTCTGAAATCAAAACAGCTGTTATTAATGTTTATTGTCCACGAGTGGATCCTGAGAAGCCTGAACGTCGTGTATATAAATTACGATTTTATGAGCTATTGAGACAGAGAGCAGCTGCCATTCGGTCTACAGGCTGTCATGTTCTAATTCTGGGAGACATTAACACATCACATAAGCAAATTGATCATTGTGATCCTGATGAAGCAGAGGTAAATGTTTGTTGTTTTTTAATTTTGATTGAATGCATTATGTTTCTTTCATCTTCTTTTTCTTTTCTTGGTGCTCTGTGCTCACCAGTTTCTTCAAGAAGCTATTGTCCACACTGCATCACACTTAATTAGTTTTGTAATAACTGAAATGCAAATGCTAGATTAATTATACAGTAGTACCTTGCTTACGAGTGCCCCAGCGTACGAGTTTTCCGAGTTATGAGCCGTCGCTCGGTCAATTTTTTGCTCTGAGTTACAAGCCAAAATAAAAGTCACGAGCGAGCTTCAGATACGCCACTACTAGTTGGCGCAGTGAACGCAACAACATCTGCTCAGCAGTGCACATGTTTACCAAGCCGTGAAAGCATCTCTCTTGTGTTGTACTTGCATTTTGTGTTTTGTGCCGTTATTTTGCCAAATTTCTTTTTACTAACCATGGGTCCTAAGAAAGTAAGTGCAAAGGACAGTGCTGAGAAGATGATGATGATGTCCATTGAATGAAAGCATGAAATCATAGAAAAAAACGAGAGGGTAGTGGAGTTTGCAAGGCAGTACCAGCGTAGTACTTCTACGAAATGTACCACACTAAAGTAGAAGGAGTCAATAAAAGCTATAACACCAGCCAAGGACGTTACAATAATTTATAAGCTGCGGACCTCTGTCCATGAAAAGATGGAGAAGCTGCTGTTGATGTGGTTGACGGAGAAGCAGCTCGCAGGAGATACCATGACTGAGGGTATCCTCTGCGAGAAAGCACGAGGCATTTACACTGATTTGCTGCAGGAGACCCCAGGCACTTCCAACGGACTTTATAAAAGTAGTTTATTTCTTTTCATTCTCTATTTTGTTTTATTATGTTTTTATACAATATTTCTTATTTATAAATTCATTGTTTCAGTGTTTTCCTTATGAAACTAGTGATCTAGTGCAGTTAGGCTCAAAAACACTCCATTTTCTCTTATAATAAGACCTCAGAAGGGACAGCATGGGAAGATATGGTCAGACCGATAATTATTTTTTACCTCGGGAGTGGCCGCCACTACTCGTCATATAATGACTTATTTTATTCATTCTAGAGTATGTACACCTACCATCCGACTTACGACCTGCTCGACATACGACGACTCGGCTTATGACCATGTTTTTTATGCCAAATTTCTGGGAAATAAACAAGTGTTAGTGTTGTACACAGTGTTTATCCTAAACCTTACAGTATAAAATACAGTACTAACAGCCAAAAAAAGTAAAGTAAAACATGAAATACCAAAATAAAACAATAAAATAAAGTCATTACAAAAATGTTATGTTGATATTCAGTAGTAAAGTTCAGCTTACGTCCATTTCGACTTACGACCAGTTTCTCCATACCACAGGTAGGGTTTTAGCCCGCGGTCAGAGAGTCTCAAAGCTCCAGACCATCACATTAGCCACTGGGCCAGCTAGTTTCAATAAGACTTATCCAACTAGTATATTTCTACACCATAGGAAGGTTAGCACAAATGCAAGTTTTTACAGGTGGATCTCCCGTGGTACGGTTTGTTTGCAATCGTGTCATTACGATTTCGTGAGTCATGTTGACAGCTTTCAGGGTACTTGAGCTAGAGTTCGTCACGGCCATGCTAGCGGGAAATCCGTCTGTAAGAACTTGCATTTGTGGACACAGCGGTGCCTATGCTAACCTTCCTATAGTGTAGAAATATACCTAGTTGGATGAATGTTATTGAAGCATGCTGGCCCAGTGGCTAACGCGACGGTCTGGAGTTTTGAGACTGACTACAGGTTCAAACCCCACCCATGGTATGGTTTGTTTGCAATTGTGTCATTATGATTCGTGAGTCATGTTGACGACTTTGAGGGGACTTGAGCTAGAGTTCGTCACGCCATGCTAGCGGGAGATCCATCTGTAAAAACTTGCATTTGTGGACACAGTGGTGCCTATGTTAACCTTCCTATGGTTTAGAAATATACCTAGTTGGATGAATCTTATTGAAGCTAGCTGGCCCAGTGGCTAATGCAATGGTCTGGAGTTTTGAGACTCTCTGACTGCAGGTTCAAACCCCACCCGTGGTATGGCTTGTTTGCAATCATGTCATTACGGTTTTGTGAGTCATAAGTCAAGGTACCACTGTATGTATATGTTTTGAGAAATGTTGTGCTTTCAAGAACATACAGCCTCTCCTCACTTAACAATGGAGTTCCATTCCTAAGACCATGTTGGTAAATGAATTCATCACTAAGTAAGGAGCATACTATATTGGTAGTGGGTTTGTGTCAACCATTTTTGATATTTTAATGTCACCTTTGTGCCATTTATAAAATTTTTAGTATACAGTGGACCCCCGGTTAACGATATTTTTTCACTCCAGAAGTATGTTCAGGTGCCAGTACTGACCGAATTTGTTCCCATAAGAAATATTGTGAAGTAGATTAGTCCATTTTAGACCCCCAAACATACACGTACAAACGCACTTACATAAATACACTTACATAATTGGTCGCATTCGGAGGTAATCGTTATGCGGGGGTCCACTGTATTATTAAATGTTTATACAGTAGTGTACTGTATGTTGTAATAAACAGAATAGAGGAAATCAGCTCTAATATACATTAGTTATTTATGCATACTGATCAGAGCCTGCATAATTTTGAGTCGTCGGTAAACGAGTACGTCACTAAGTGAGGAGAGGCTGTATTATAATTTAATACAAATGGTACCAATGGTCTAAAATTTGCTCTCTCTTTCAATAGGTCTTTGAGAGACGACTGGAGAGAAGGTATCTGAGCAGTTTTCTCATCCCTTTGTACAAAAAAGATGATATGGAAAAAGTTCTCTGTGGACACAATGAGGTTGATGAAGCTTCTGGTGATAGTGATTGCAAAGTGAAACGTGATACACATTGTCACATGTCTCTCAGTGGTACATCACCGTTATTGTTATCAGAAGAAAAAGAAGTTAGTGAAAAATGTTTAATACTTGAAGATGTAAATACTAAAATAAAGGTAGAAAAAGAAACATTAGAGAAAGAAACATACAGAGATAAACAGGAAGGCAAAACAAGCAGTCAAGAATTTGAGGAATATGAAGTCAGTGATGATCATTTGCTTGTGTCAAATACAGACTTCCAAGTGGTTGATACATTTCGCTATTTCTACCCCTACAAGAAAGAAGTATTCACTTGCTGGAACACATTTACTAATTCTAGATCCACAAATTATGGCACACGAATTGATTATGTATTTTGCGATGAAGAATTTCTCCCATATGTGGATGATAGCTTGATTCTTAATGACATAATGGGAAGTGATCATTGCCCTGTGGCTGTAGTAATTAAAGGGGAATTAGTTCCTTCAAGTAAGCTTCCCTACAGTTCCACTAAATTCTTTCCAGAATTTCGAGGACAGCAGCAAAAGTTATCATCATATTTTCAACCACAATCGTCCATACCTGATGGTGAGACATGGAGAAATATGAATCGTAATTCCCTTCCTAAGGCGGGAAATTTAACAGATCAGAGCTCACATAGCACAGTAAAAAGGAAAATAAACAATATTAAATCTTCAAATAAGAAAAATTGTGCAGATAAACAGAGGAAGTTGAGTTCCTTTTTCAGTAAAACAATAAATGATCGAAAGATTGCAGTAGTATTACCAGATAAAGAAGCTGGTGGTTATGAGAGTCACAGTTCAGATAGAACAGTTAATGATGTGGAAAGTACACCCACATTAATTGGTCCATGTCAGTTAAATCCAAATGAAAGTGACTTCAAAGATATTCTATCAGATGACTTAGCTTCATCTGGTGAATGTAATAGTTCTCAAGAAGACAGTCAAGAATCTAGCAAAGTTAAAAGCAAAAATTTAGGCTGGGATTTCTTAATGAAGGGACCGAAACCACCACCTCTCTGTCCAGGTCACAAGGAACCTGCTGTTGTGATGACTGTTAAGAAAAAAGGGCCAAATATGAACCGGCAGTTTTATGCTTGTGGTAGAGGTGTGGGCAAGGAAGGAGATCCTAATGCTCGGTGCAACTTTTTTAAGTGGGTAGGGAAGTAAATTTCAGATGACAGCATAAATACCAAAATTATTTGTAGTAATAACTTGAAAATACCTAGGTAGTAGGTTGGTAGACAGCAACTGCCCAGGGAGGTACTACCGTCCTGCCAAGTGAGTGCAAAACGAAAGCCTGTAATTGTTTTACATGATGGTAGGATTGCTGGTGTCCATTTTTCTGTCTTGTAAACATGCAAGATTTCAGGTACATCTTGCTACTTCTTACACTTAGGTCACACTACACATACATGTACAAGCATATATATATGTACACACCCCTCTGGGTGTTCTTCTATTTCCTTACTAGTTCTTGTTCTTGTTTATTTCCTGTTCTCTCCATGGGGAAGTGGAACAGAATTCTTCCTCCGTAAGCCATGCGTGTTGTAAGAGGCGACTAAAATGCTGGGAGCAAGGAGCTAGTAACCCCTTCTCCTGTATACAGTATATTACTAAATGTAAAAGGAGAAGCTTTTGTTTTTCCTTTTCGGCCACCCCGCCTCGGTGGGATACGGCCGGTGTGTTGAAAGAAAGAAAGAAGAACTTGAAAATAAAAATTTTAACTATTTTGGTAAGCTAAATTATAATAATGTTCTTTAATGCTTTTGTCTGTCTTTGCTAAGGACTAAGTTACAAAACAATTGCTATAGTTTAAAGCTCAGTAGAGGCAGATGCTGTTCTCTCTGTATTATTTTTGGAAATTATGATACTGTACCTAAAAATGCATTTGAATCTTCTCTCTAGATCCCAAATACTGTACATGTATATGTTTTTAATTGATTCTGATCCCTCAATGTATAAGTTAATTAATAAACTTCACCCTTATCCTTACTATCCCATTCCTATTTCACACTGCCAGAGTGAGTCAGATAGAAGCTATTTGGTGGTGAGCCACAAGTAAATGTGCATATATGCACTTTATTAAATTGGTTTACTGCTTTAGTCTTTCTTATTCTACACTGGTCATCTCCCACCAAGGGAGGGTAACCCCCCCAAAAAAGGGAACACATTCAGCATAATTCATTCAATTGCTGTCTTGTGAAAGTGCACAGACATCACAGTACAAATGATCCTCTGAACTGCAGTATCTATGCCCCTCCTTCAGAGTGCAGGCACTGTACTTCACATTGCATGTATTCGGAATATGTGATATAAATTATTTCCTGTCATGTGATAAAGAAGAATTGCATAATAATTTCATGTACGTAATTTCGTAACACTATTGAAAATTAATACAGTGCAGTTTGTATGTGCTGAGCTATGACCATCCAATCTCAATGTTTATATAAATATAGGCTAAGTATGGATGTAGTATTTAGTTATATTTTATTATATTCTTAATAAAGTTTAATAAGCTTTTTCTTTTATATTTTTAACAACATTGTCCATTTTTCATCAAGGTAAAGTGATCCAATGAAGGAAAACACATTCACCATAACACACATCTTGTAGCTGTCTTTCTATAAAACATAATATAATAATAATATACACCTGCCATCCGACTTACGACCGAGTTCGGTTCCGAGAAACCGGTCGTAAGTTGAAATGGTCGTAAGTCGAACTTTACTACTGAATATCAACAAAACATTTTTGTAATTACTTTATTTTATTGTTTTATTTTGGTGTTTCATGTTTTACTTTACTTTTTATGTTGTTAGTACTGTATTTTATACTGTAAGGTTTAGGATAAACACTGTGTACAACACAAATAGTTGTTTATTTCCCAGAAATTTGGCATAAAAAACACGGTCGTAAGTAGAGTGGTCGTAAGTCGAGCAGGTCGGAAGTCGGATGGTATGTATCTTTCTAAGTACTGTATAGGAGAGTGTTTAAATCTGTAGGGGAAGGAAGGCGGGGTAGGGGTCATCCTCAAAAAGGTTGGAGGGATGGGGTAAAGAGGTTTTGTGGGCAAGGGGCTTGGACTTCTAGCAAGTGTGCGTGAGCGTGTTAGATAGGAGTGAATGGAGACGAATGGTATTTGGGACCTGACGAGCTGTTGGAGTGTGAGCAGGGTAATATTTAGTGAACGGATTCAGGGAAACCGGTTATTTTTTTATAGCCGGACTTGAGTCCTGGAAATGGGAAGTACAATGCCTGCACTTTAAAGGAGGGGTTTGGGATATTGGCAGTTTGGAGGGATGTTGTGTATCTTTATACGTTTATGCTTCTAAACTGTTGTATTCTGAGCACCTCTGCAAAAACACTGATTATGTATGAGTGAGGTGTAAGTGTTGAGTGATGATGAAAGTATTTTCTTTTTGGGGATTTTCTTTATTTTTGGGTCACCCTACCTCGGTGGGAGACGACCGACTTGTTAAAAAAAAAAAAAATGTCAGTCGTCTCCCAACGAGGCAGGAGTCTACCTGGAGGTTATTCTGGGGATCAATGCCCCCGCGGCCCAGTCCATGACCAGGCCTCTCGGTGGATCAGGGCCTGATCAACCAAGCTGTTACTGCTTGCCGCACGCAGTCCAACGTATGAACAACAGCCTGGCTGATCCGGCACTGACTTTAGGTATCTGTCCAGCTCTCTCTTGAAGGCAGCCAGGGGTTTATTGGTAATTCCCCTTATGGTATGGGACCTAAATGCTAAAGTAGGAGAAACATTTAAAGAGGGTGTGGTAGGCAAGTTTGGGGTGCCAGGTGTAAGTGATAATGGGGCCCCTTTGATTGAACTTTGTATAGAAAGGGGTTTGGTTATAGGTAATACATATTTTAAGAAAAAGAGGATAAATAAGTATACGTACAAGATATGATGGAGGGCGTAATTACAGTAGTTTGTTGGACTACGGACTGGTGGATAAAAGACTGTTGGGTAGACTTCAAGATGTACATGTTTATGGAGGGGGCCTCAGATATATCGGATCACTTTTTAGTTGTAGCTACAGTGAGAGTAAATGGTAGATGGGATACAAGGAAAATGGAAGCAGCAGGTAAGAGAGATATGAAGGTTTATAACCTAAAGGAGGAGGCAGTTATGATAAGATATAAACAACTATTGGAGGATAGATGGGTTAGTGAGAGTATAGGCAATGGGGTTGAAGATGTATGGGATGGGTTTAAAAATGTAGTGTTAGAGTGTTCAGCAGAAGTTTGTGGTTACAGGAAAGTGGGTGCAGGAGGGAAGAAGAGCGATTGGTGGAATGATGATGTAAAGTCACCTTCAGACTTCACAATGAGGCAGCCATTAATAACTTCACAACAGCAGTAGCAAACATTGATTGGCACACTGAGCTAGAAATCTATACAGATATTGACGAATGTATTAATAATTTTCTAAAAAAGACCCAATACCTCTATAACAAGCACTGCCCTAAAAAAACTAAACAGATGACAGCTAAGAGACTGAACAGTCCCTGGCTAACACCCAGCATTCTCAAATCCATAAATACAAAACACCAATATGAAAAACAGTACAGAATGGGTCACATAACCAGAGACCAAACAAAACGTTACTCGTCAATCCTAACCAGCCTGATAAGAAGGGCAAAAAAATTGTATTATGAGAACAGATTATCCAACTTACGAGTTGATATAAAAAAGACCTGGAAAACCCTATCAGAAATTCTGGGAACAAAAAAGATATCACGAAATAGCGAAATAAAATTAGCAAAATCAGATGAACCCCAACTCCCACCAACAGAAACAGCAAACAGACTCAATGATTTCTTCTCCACTATAGGACAAAACCTTGCCAATAAAATTCCAAGCTCAGATACCCACCAAATGACTACCTCACTGGCAACTACCCGAACACACTGTTCCTAGCTCCGACTAACCCTTACGAAGTCTCCCTTATTATCAATGCACTAAAAAACAAGGCAGGAGATTTAAATACCTTACCACCCTTTATATACAAAAAACTGTCACAAGTGCTATCACCAATCATTGCAACACTCTTTAACAAATCCATAGATCCTCCACCTTCCCTACAGTACTCAAAATAGCAAGGGTCACCCCGATCCACAAAGGAGGAGACCAAACAGAGTTGAATAACTATAGGCCAATATCCAACTTACACCCTCTCTCAAAAATCTTCAAAAATTAATTCATAAACGAATCTACTCCTACCTTATCTCCCAAAACATACTCAACCCCTGCCAATTTGGATTCAGGCCTAATAAAAATACTAATGATGCTATTATACACATGCTAGAACATATATACACTGCAATAGAGAAAAAAGAAGTCCCACTGGGGATCTTCATTGACTTACGTAAAGCTTTTGATACAGTTGACCATGACTAGCTCCACGTAAAATTGTCACACTATGGTATAAGAGGGCACTCCCTCAACTACCTCAAGTCATACCTCAGCAACAGAAGCCAATATGTGTACGCAAATGGGGCAAACTCTTCTGCGCACCCAATTACAGTTGGTGTCCCACAGGGAAGTGTCCTTGGCCCTCTTCTCTTTCTCCTATACATAAATGACCTTCCAAATGCTTCGCAATTACTCAAACCCACACTATTTGCATATGACACTACATACGTCTTCTCTCACCCGAGCCCAGTCACGCTAGCCAATACTGTAAATACCGAATTACAGAAATATCTACCTGGATGAGGACTAACAAACTTACACTAAACATTGACAAAACCTACTTCATTCAGTTTGGTAACAGAGCTACAGATGTCCCTCTTAACATAATGATAAACGGATCACCTATCACAAAGCTAACAGAGGGAAAATTCTTAGGAATCCACCTTGATAATAGACTCAAATTTCATACACTTATACAACAAATTTCTAAGAAAATTTCCAAGACTGTAGGCATACTATCGAAGATACGGTACTATGTTCCATAGTCAGCCCTCCTGGCCCTATATCACTCTCTTATTTACCCCTATCTCACCTATGGAATTTGTGCATGGGGCTCAACAACAATTAACCATCTCAGACCACTAATTACCCAACAAAAGGCTGCAGTTAGAATGATAACAAATTCTCACTACAGGCAGCACACTCCACCAATATTCAATACACTAAACCTACTCACCATACAAAACATCCATACTTATTACTGCACCTATTACATACATAGAACACTTTCTTTCTTTCTTTCAACACACCGGCCGTATCCCACCGAGGCGGGGTGGCCCAAAAGGAAAAACGAAAGTTTCTCCTTTTACATTTAGTAATATATACAGGAGAAGAGGTTACTAGCCCCTTGCTCCGGCATTTTAGTTGCCTCTTACAACACGCATGGCTTACGGAGGAAGAATTCTGTTCCACTTCCCCATGGAGATAAGAGGAAATAAACAAGAATAAGAACTAGAAAGAAAATAGAAGAAAACCCAGAGGGGTGTGTATATATGTGCTTGTACATGTATGTGTAGTGTGACCTAAGTGTAAGTAGAAGTAGCAAGACGTACCTGAAATCTTGCATGTTCATGAGACAGAAAAAAGGACACCAGCAATCCTACCATCATGTAAAACAATTACAGGCTTTCGTTTTACACTCACTTGGCAGGACGGTAGTACCTCCCTGGGCGGTTGCTGTCTACCAACCTACTACCTTGAACATAGAACACTTAACTCTGATATTAACCCTCCCCTCAAACATCTCCTTGCCACCTCAACAGAACACATGACCATAACACAAGGCACAGATCACTCTTTGATGTTCCTCGTGTCCATCTCACACTATGCAAAAACTCAATGCACATAAAAGGCCCTAAAATCTGGAATTCATTACCTGTAAATATAAAAGAAACACTACCTGTTTATAAATTCAAGTCTCTTTCAAAGATCACTTACTCACCCAAAACCAAATAAATACTGAATAACTGAACCTTATAAATTGTATATCTTAAATGTTTCTCACAATTATATCACATAAATGTTAAACCAAAAACCCCAATCTAACTTTATTATTTTTTAAATACACTACCTAACAAAATACTCCATACGACTGAATGTACAACAATGCATGCAACCATATGACCTGTCTTTGTAATACTCATTTGTGCTTTATAGTTATCTGTTTACAATAATGTATTATCACTGATTTCATCATTGCTTGGTTAATTTTAAGCCAGCCCGAAATGCTATGCATAGTATAAGTGGCTTTGGCATGCTGCTCTTATCTGTATTTTTTTGTACCTCTATATGTATGCTCAAATTGTAAATAAATAAATAAATAAATAAATAAATAAATAAATAAAGAGAGTAGTAAGAGAGAAAAAGTTAGCATATGAGAGCTTTTTACAAAGTAGAAGTGATGCAAGGAGGGAGGAGTATATGGCGAGGAAAAGAGAGTGTTAAGAGAGTGATGAAGCAATGTAAACAGAGCAAATGAGAGTGAGTGAGATGTTATCAACAAATTTTGTTGAAAATAAGAAAAAGTTTTGGAGTGTGA